GCCTACATTTAAGCCGTTCCTTGACTGTGTCCAGCTCGCTAATAATCACCTAAATTAAATATAGACAGTCAGGGAGTATTGAAAATTCCAAAAACGATGGATAGGGCACTATCGTTAGCAAATTTTGACAGCGAGGAAATATAAAAAGATTTGAGTGCGGCCCTTCGGACCTTGTTGAAGACCGAAAGCGGCCCCCGGGGCAAAATGAGTTTGTGCTCTCCTATCTACCATTGATGATGTCATCAGTGTTATCCAGGACATCTCAGGTTCTCTGGAGTATACCTGCGTCCGGTGTCTGTTGTGTGTACAGTATGTGTTTGTGAGAAAATTATCAGAATAAGCTTAGTCAAACAACATTGTATACAAATGGCTGTAACACAGTTTTTTAACCCTTCAGTTGTTTCAAAGTTAGACCTATTACATGACATTAGACACATGGTACTTCAGGATGCTTTATATAGTTTATTAAATATTGCATAATACCAAAATCACAGCAGTAAATAGTGTTGTCTTCATTTAATATGGACATTGTAACAGCACCGCAAAAAAGAAGCAAACAAACAAAACCTGTTGCAGGTTGTGCATCTCTGCAAACAAAATAAAAATAAAAAAAATAAAAAGTTGTCACATACACCGGATAGGTACAGTGAAATGTGTTGTTTTACAGGGTCAAAACATAGTAGTACGGCGCCTCTGGAGCAAATGAGGGTTAAGTGCCTTGATTATGAATCATTTATTTGAAGCATTGTGTCACACTTTAGTCTAGGTACTGGTACAGTATTGGTACTTAGTACATGTCTTCTCCCATCACAAAGACTAAAACTAAAGGTAAAAACAATAGTAATATCCTTAAATATGACAAATGGATACATTTCTGTGATAATCAATAAAAGCAAATGAGAATTTGGCACAATTTGCATCTGAAATAAGGCATTTACGATCCTCACAAAATGGCAGCGTAATGTTACTTCATATGCATCAAACTGTCTGTGCTAAATAACTTCACTCTGTGCTTTGCCCAAAAAATCATTCAGGTAAATAAGCTGGAACAACAGATTGAGCTTCATGTGACTTTTCCCATCACTTGCATTCCATACTTTATTATACATATTTACAATCCTTATTGTGCCAGGCTGTTTAATGGTTTACATATTAATTCAAGCTGAAAGCACTGATCCTTTTTACATAATGTGTGTATACAGTACTCCACAATCATACATTCATACATCCTGCGATGTTTCATGGAGCACATTAACATTCTACACTGACTTGTAAGGCTATCATTTGATACCACAAGAAGAGTGATTTCTTGTTGCCAAAGTCTATCATAGTCAGTTTGACATTGAACAGACCTTTCCTTATTAAATTGTCCCTGGATATTATAAGCTTTGTTTTGACTTCGGATGTCTGTGTTGGAGAAGGGTAATAATAGCTATAGTGCAAGTGCTAGCGTGGGGGAACCACATAATTAAATAGAACACATTGTGTTATACTGTATCTCTATGGGGTAAACAGCTCACAGCTGAGTCATAATACAACCACCACTCAGATTATCCTTCAGAAACATACATTATGGCAGTTTTGTACAGCAGACCAAGGGGAAATGTAAATGTAAGAAATGGGAGAAACACTGCTTACAAACACATTAATGGCCATACAGTAGAACCACAGGAGGCTGCTGAGGGGAGGACGGCTCATAATAATGGTTGGAATGGAGTAAATGGAATGGCATTAAACACTTGGAAACCATGTGTTTGATGTGTTCAATACTATTCTATTGATTCCGTTTCAGCCATTACTAAGAGCCCGTCCTTCCCAATTAAGTTACCACCGGCCACCATGAGAACACCTCATCTATGCTTCCCTGTTGCCGCAAAATACTTATTGATATTCATATGATATGATTTAGAGACAAACTCAGCAACTCAGTACAATGTAACTGTTTTTGTAAAAACAACTGTCACACAAGACTATATTCTCATCAATGTTGGCTGTTGGCTATAAAAAAGCTAGGGATAAACGATGTTGAATGTTTGAGTGTTGTATTGTCTCATGTCAATTACAAACATTGTAACAGCTTGACAGAATTAAGCTTTCTATTCCTTTCAAGTACAACCAACAGATGAGTAAACAGGCAGAGCTGGACTTCATCGTTGAATAAATATCTCACAAGGTAACATGATAGGGGTAGTTAATAACTCCAAACCATGTCCCAATCTGGTCAATGCTAATCATCACTGCACAACTGTAGCTAACTTCATCAAGTGGAGAAATAAAGATGTGTGACATATAAGTAATCTTCATCAGTATCACTCCAGAAACTAGATTAAGTATTACTACTGTATAAAGGTAATAATACTAGTTAGATGTTGATAGTCTTACTGATATCCTCTAATTTAATGTATACTGCCTAGTGAACCCAGACTGTCACTCATGATATTTAGGATTCCACCGAAGAACACATAGCAGTGAGTCATAAAGAGGAAGAATTTGATATGACCAAGTTAAGGCATCCTTTTTTCAATCTGCCAACTTTTCAGGATATACAGTATTCTGACATGGTGCGTGCCTTTTACCAGCTTACAGATCTGATGAAGCTTTCAAATTGGGGACCTCTGTCCTCACAGGAAGACTGCTTCGATATCCAAATTCAAAGCAATCTTCCTTGAGGGAGCAGTCCAGTTCAAAGATAATTAGTAAATGTTTTTCTTGCTGTTGCCTAGGCCACAAAATAATGATGGCACTAACCTTTTTATGCGAGCAAAGTATATGTCAAAAAAAGAATAAAACATTTGTCGCTAAACTTTCCAAATGTCGACAAAACAAAATACGCTAGACAGCGTGGACTTTTTTTGTGTCTGTAAAATTAACTATACGAGAAATGGCTGTGGAAACACCTTTTAATGCGCAAATATTGATATAATAACCATCATATCGAAGTTAACTTGGAGTCACGTAATGAAATGTTGTGTGGTCGTCCCACGACAACTCAGGAAAGCATGCAGTTTATTAAGCTACAGATTAAATACGTTATGATGAACTTCACAGGGTAATGAAAGTGCATGGTGATGAGCTTGATGCTCCTTTCCAATAAATATTCTGGTGACATGATGAATGATGCTTGGCTGCCGTTTGACAAATAAAAAGAATCACATCATGTAGGCTAGCCTACCCACACTGTATCTGCAAACTGTTGGCTAAAGCGCACGTGCCAAGACCAGAGTGGGCATATTCTCTATATAACGCTACATTTTATGTGACAAAAACATCAGTAGCGTTGAAAATGCGGTGGAAACACATTTAACTTGTATTTTGGGGCATGTGAATTTAACCGCAAAAGTTAAATTTATGTGCATTACGTCATCACGCACAGCCTTTTCCCCACAAGTAAAATTGATTGAAACATCTCTGGTGGGAAAATGCGCATCTTGTTTTTATGCGGATTGTAGAATATTCACATGAAAATCTGTCGCCAATTGGATGGAAACCTAGCTATTGATACAGTTAAGTGCTTCAAAAAAAAAAAGAGTGGCGTACCACACCTGTCCTGTGGTTCCACTGAAGCTAGTCTAGCTTAGGCAGCGGTCTGCCACCGGCTACCTCACAGGAATCACAGAAGATCACGCACACTCACTCACTCATTAGCTCATACACACACACGATCTATCTTCATCAGGTACATACATAGCACAGCCAGTCTTCCTGATTGCATTTATCACTTCATCTGACAGAAAGCTTAGCTAATATTAGCTAACATGTTTGATCATTTTCGGATTTCTATCATGCAGATGAACGTGCTCGAATTATAGTACAAACCTTGAATAGAAACCAGAGGCTATACTAAAATGGCATTGGAAGCTTTTGGACTACACTGAGGTAAGAGTGTTCTGCTATTTTATAAAGACTACAAGCCTACATTGTCACAAACATGGCTTTATAGCTTTTAGTGCATTCTGAGCTAACAAAATCAAGCCATTCCACGATGATACACAATATAGCAGGCCTATAAATTTGTTTCTTGAAGTTCGCTGTCAGGTCAATGGGTTTTTGAAATTTAAACCAAGGAATATGGTCTGTTGGACACTGTCCAAGTATGTGTCATCACATACAGGCTAGTACCTTCATGGTATGTCCAACCAAACACTACTGGTTACTGGGTTTTCCTAGGAAAAACATTTGTCTTCTAGACAGCTTAGCAAGTCATGTCAACCTTCAAATGTATCTGCATTCAAAGTTAAAGAAAAATACTTTTGCCAAAATAGGTCCTGAAAGGTAGCTGATGAATAACAGCTCCTATTTCTCTAGCGCGTCAACAACAACACATTTGAGCCCTCCTGATCCATCATGGAGGTTATAAGAACCACTCTCTTGATCTATGAACTGCTCTGCTACTGACCTGCCATATAGATAGACATTCATGTGCTTCAGAAATACTTTGTATAGTAGTTAACAATCACAATAACACACCGCAAGTACTATACCTACTGTACAAGATTATACAGTGTACAAAACATTAGGAAAACCTGCTCTTTCCATGACAGACTGACCAGGTGTATCCAGGTAAAACCTATGATCCCTTATTGATGTTACTTGTTAAATCCACTTCAATCAGTGTAGATGAAGAAATATTTTAAAGCCTTGAGACAGTTGAGACATGGATTGTGTATGTGTGCTATTCAGAGGGTGAATGGGCAAGACAAAAATATTTAAGTGCCTTTGAATGGGGTATGGTGGTAGGTGCCAGGCGCACCGGTTTGAGTGTGTCAAGAACTGCAACGCTGCTGGGTTTTTCACGCTCAACAGTTTCCCGTATGTATCAAGAATAGTCCACCACCCAAATGACATCCAGCCAACTTGACACAATTGTGGGAAGCATTGGAGTCAACATGGGCCAGCATTCCTGTGGAATGCTTTTGACACCTTGAGTCCATGTCCTGACGAATTGAGGCTGTTTTGAGGGGAAAAGGGGGTGCAACTCAATATTAGGAAGGTGCTCCTAATGTTTTGTACACTCAGTGTATACCGCAGTGTGTGACACTTATTTTTTACTAAAAGTTCCATTGTCAGAATATCATATGATAAATTCAGCCATGTACTGTGCAAGACGTGGTTAGGGTATGTATACACCACACTGACGATTGGGCAGTGTCAACAGCTAGCTTTCTCCTATCGTGGCCTCATAAACATTAACATACCTCAGACCAAACTGATCACTTACACTAGACCAACGTATTCACTTGACTAAATGACTATCCTAATTTAAAGTCAAGCGCAATAGTAATTATTTCCCCAACACTCAACAGGCAACCATGGGTTAGAGCTAGGTTCTCCTCACACTATAAATGTTTGTTGACAGGTTATAAGTTGACCTCTTTTACGTAATTTCCTGGAAACGTGCCAAAGTGTTTTGTCCTCTTCGAGGTACCTGAGAACGAAACAACAACAACAATATTTGTTAGTCTTTGCAATCAAATGTGCCTACTTATGTGATATAATAGCAACCACTACCATTGAGTACATAAACACACATTTAGATATCAGGCTGAACAAATGTACGGTTTTGAACTCTATGGGCTCTATTTTCGGGCTGGTGTTAAGGAGGCGCTGGTGTCCAACGCACGCTCTTTGGCAATTTCGACTTGTTAAAGCCAGCACTCTGCTATGGCGCCAGGGTTGGTAATTGACCTGGAAGGGGTGGAAATATTTGGTGTGTGTCATTAAAAACGTGCCAATTTCAAACAGCGCTACTGGTGATATTTAAGACTTACTAAAAGCTGGTATTAGCAGTAACGCAATTGGTTATTGCATCGATTTTGTCAGCGGAGGCGCACAGTAGCCTAATGAGTAGCCTATAACCAATGTTTTATTAAAATATCTTCGAGCAGCAAAACAGACATTCCCGTTTTCCTTTATATTGGACATTTTTTTTGTCCATGCAGCTTCTGTGAAAAGTTTAGACTCAGTAGGCCTATGTGCGATGCCATTGAATGAATGGTGTCAGTGACCGTAGGAAGTCTGTTCAGGAACATAATGTTTTTACAATAGACTGCTTATTGTTTTTCCTTGATCATTTTGTAAAAAAATAGCATCCTCCACTTTCATCTGTTGGACCTAACTGTCAAATTGCGGGAATTCCGATCGCTGTCCATGGTGCTGAATCCGCTTGTAGCCTAGGCTATTTGCCTGTTCGTATGTTTACCTTCCACGTGGCAAAGTCACTAACAGGCTATATCAACAGCAATGGTAGGCTAATCTTATTATAATGTTCGGGCAATGTCCATTTATCCATGGCTCGAACATGCAGTGCATTTTCGAAATGCAAATGCAATGTGTGTAGACAAATATTTGAAGCAACTAAAAAATACTACATTGGCTACATGTTTGTTATAACTAGGCCTATTGTAGGGTTACTGTATACTATTTAATAAACAATATTCAATGTATAGGACAAACATCCATGCCTCCTGCCGAAGAGCCCTTATGCCTACGTGTGCAGCAGTGGAGGCTGCTGAGGGGAGGACGGCTCATAATAATGGCTGGAACGGAGCAAATGGAATGGCATCAAACACGGGAAACCATGTTTGATGAATTTGATACCATTCCACCAATTACGCTCCGGCCATTACCAAGAGCCCGTCCTCCCCAATTAAGGTGCCACCAACCTCCTGTGGTGTGCACCCATTGCCTTATGCTCATGGAACAAGAGATGTGATTTATGATATCACGCTTCTGACCCGATCCTATTTAGAAATATTGTTGTTTTAAAAAACAGATTGATTGCTTTTCATTTAATTAAAAACCTAACTTATTAGAAAGATTCAGCGTCAATGGGTTTATGTTGAGAATGTACATGGCTATTTCTGGAGAAGTGCAAATATGATCAGTAAGATAGTTCCATGATGTTTATAAAGCATTACATTTGGGAGCAGTATAATGGTGAGTGGACTTTCCCCCTTTCTCTTTATATTCAATCTTTGTCCAGCTCCTGTGAAAAGTTTGGATGTGCGTAAAACCCTCCGTAGTTTTACTTGCCTTGTCTGTATTATACGCCCACGGGAGTAATTATGGTGCCTGTAACTGTATTTAGACATATCCCAATTTTTCTTAGAATTTGATTAGAATTATACAGTCTTTTTAGGCCTCATCAATAGCCTAGTGAATTTAATTTTGATTATTGACTACGTTTGGCATGTCCATGTCCAGACTGCAATTTACAGTAGGCCTAGCCCCTATATCAGTGCTAATGCTATAGCTTATGTATAACAATGCAATTAGAACAATGTGGACTGCAAACATGTTCAACATATTTAGCAAATATGGGGCAGGCTATTTAACGAACTAGGCTATAACGGCCTAACATTCAAATTGGAGTTGATGACAACGCAATACATAAAAGACCGTAAATACACAACTTGAAGCAACCACATATTTAGCCATTGAGCACATTATGATTGGCCAGTGAGGTGTCAAGCCGCAACACACCCACAACTTGTTTATTTATCAAAACCCAGCTACCACCAGGTACTGCGGCCATAATTACGGTTGTGAAAATAGCAAAAATATTTTTTACACACCCCAAAACCTATAGCGCTACTGCCAGCGCTAAGATTGACCATTGTGTTAGATTTGTTAAAATAGAGCCCTAAGTGTTTGAACCTCCTCTATGTGCGAGTTTCTGAGAAACTACCCACATGGCAGTTTTGTCCCTCTGCTGTCACTCTGCTGTAACCCTATATGGATGGATGTGACTGTGACTATATCTTTGGGGAATCCATCCTGAGGCCCCAGGCACATACCAACAAACCAGCCATCATCGCACTTCTCCATGACACTGACAAGATCTCCCTCCTGCAGCTCCAGCTCATCTTCATTCTGTGGCACGTAACTGTACAAAGCCTGGAAACTGTAGGATAACATTACATAAAGTCAGAACTACAACCACAAAAGGACTTGAGAGACATAGTATCAAAAACGTAATAAGATATGTATATACCAGACCAGGGTCGTGTTCATTATGCACCAAATGGATTAAAACCAACTGAAACAGGGAGGGACTACTGGGACTTGTCCCATAAAAAAAATGCTCATTTTAGTTTTCTGTTGCAAAGCATTTTAAAACGTTTTCCGTTGCGTGCCCTAATGAACATGACTGTTGAACTGGGGCTTTGAAGCCTTAAGTCAGACAGCAACAGTAAAACAGAAACCAGAGTATCCAGAGCTCAGACTAGACGTCAGACGGCCATACTCACATTCCACAGCTGAGACGGCTTGGCTCCGGGCTGTTGCTGTGGGACTGGGGTTGCTGGGAAATGATGAGAGATTGTTTACTGGGGTGAAGGGGGGGAAGTAGTCTGTGAAGGACAGAGTCATTGGGGTGGGGGGAGAGGGTGCTGCAGTACCTCACCGAGGTCTCAGCTATATTCATGATCTCATTACACACCGCCTCCTAGTGACAGTGGCCAGGTCAGAGAGAGAATACCCAGAATCCCCAGTCAGCCCAGAAGGAGAGGACAGATGAAGTTGGGTTGGGTAGAGGGGTGGGGCAGGGAGTTAGAGGGCGCACAGGAAGGAGGAAGGTAGGAGGTCCAGTGAGTGGCAAGGCAGAAAGGGAGGGGTCCGTTAGAAACCAGGAAAAACCAGGAAAGTCGAGAAACACCAGAAGAGATGGTGGTGGAGTCCGGCCGAGGGGTAAGCATGGAAGAGCAAGACACTAGAGTGAGTGGCATATAGAATGTACACAGTCACAATGAAATATTAGTTCACGTCTGATACTATTCAAAAGATGACATGCACAATCAGCGGGGAGGAAAAGATGGCAGCAAGGTCATGCAAGAATGTGGTCATATTAATCTTATTGACTTGTTCTTTACAGAAACTCAAAGTAACAGTCTGAAGCTGAGTGATGGGATTTAGGATAAATGATTAGTTACAGTGCCTTCAGAAAGTATTCAGACCCCTTGACTTTTTCCACATTTTGTTACATTACAGCCTTATTCTAAAATTGATTAAATTATTTTTTCCCCTCATCAATCTACACACAATACCTCATAATGACAAAGCAAAAACAGGTTTTTAGAAATTCTGGCAGATTTCTTAAAAATTAAAAACAGAAATACCTTATTTACATAAGTATTCAGACCCTTTGCTACGAGACTTGAATCTGAGCTCAGGTGCATCCTGTTACCATTGATCATCCTTGAGATGTTTCTACAACTTGATTGGAGTCCACCCGTGGTAAATTCAATTGATTGGACATGATTTGGAAAGGCACACACCTGTCTAGATAAGGTCCCACAGTTGACAGTGCAAGTCAGAGCAAAAACCAAGCCATGAGGTCGAAGGAATTGTCCGTAGAGCTCCGAGACAGCATTGTGTCAAGTCAGATCTGGGGAAGGGTACCAAAAAATTTCTGCAGCATTGAAGGTCTCCAAGAACACAGTGGCCTCCATCAGTGTTAAATGGAAGATGTTTGGAAACACCAAGACTCTTCATAGAGCTGGCCGCCCGGCCAAACTGAGCAATCGGGGGAGAAGGGCCTTGGTCAGGGAGGTGACCAAGAACCTGATGGTCACTCTGACAGAGCTCTAGAGTTCCTCTGTGGAGATTGGAGAACCTTCCAGAAGGACAACCATCTCTGCAGCACTCCACCAATCAGGCCTTTAAGGGAGAGTGGCCAGACGGAAGCCACTCCTCAGTAAAAAGGCACATGGCAGCCCACTTGGAGTTTGCCAAAAGGCATCTAAAGACTCTCAGACCATGAGAAACAAGAATCTCTGTTTTGATGAAACCAAGATTGAACTCTTTGGCCTGAATGCCAAGCATCATGTCTGGAGGAAACCAGGCACCGCTCATCACCTGGCCAATAACATCCCTACGGTGAAGAATGGTGGTGGCAGCATCATGCTGTGGGCATGTTTTTCAGCGGAAGTTACTGGGAGACTAGTCAGGATCGAGGCAAAGATGAACGGAGCAATGTACAGAGAGATCCTTGATGAAAACCTGCTCCAGAGCGCTCAGGACCTCAGACTGGGGCGAAGGTTCACCTTCCAACAGAACAGCGACCCTAAGCACACAGCCAAGACAACGCAGGAGTGGCTTCGGGACATGTCTCTGAATGTCCTTGAGTGGCCCAGCCAGAGCCCGGACTTGAACCCGATCTAACATCTTTGGAGAGACTTGATAATAGCTGTGCAGCAACGCTCCCCATCCAACCTGACAGAGCTTGAGAGGATCTGCAGAGCAGAATGGGAGAAACTCCCCAAATAAAGGTGTGCCAAGCTTGTAGCGTCATACCCAAGAATGCTCAATGCTGTAATTGCTGCCAAAGGTGCTTCAATCAAGTACTGAGTAAAGGGTCTGAATACTTATGTAAATGTGATATTTATGTTTGTAATAAAAAACAATTTAATCAATTTTAGAATAAGGCTGTAACGTAACAAAATGTGGAAAAAGTCAAGGGGTCTGAATACTTTCCAAATGCACTGTAAGTGCTGAAGTTCAGTTAAATTAACAGTGATGAGTTAAAGGAAGCGATAATCATAGATCATGATAAATAAATCCCCACCACATATTTCTTATCCAGAAATACCAGACATACACATTTTCTAATATTTTCGTCGCCCACAAAATGCAAATCAGCACCTTACCGCGAATGAGTTCGCATTCATGTTGTTGTCCTGGATGTCAAACAACATGACAGGGCTTCTGGATGTTCTTCCATGGTAGTCGCTCTCATTCTTCACCAGCTGTAAGATGAACAACACACACATTAGACTCTGTATGGTTCACAAATAGGAGTTCCCCACTGGGCACAGACGTCAATTCAACGTCTATTCCACGTTGCTTCAACGTAATTTCATTGAAATGACATGGAAACAACGTTGATTCAACCAGTGCGTGATGTCTGGAAGCTGTAAACACAATCGCAGTGGAAGTCAATTTACACTGTTTGTTAGAAAAATCCATAGATATCTCTCGAACAAAAGTTATTTTCAATAAAAAAAATATTCAAAATATTTAGATTTTCTTTAAAAACATTCACAAACCAATCTTAATCCTCAAATAGTAATAAAATTGGCTTCTCTATGACAATATTTTCCAATATGATGGTATAATGGTGGGGGTCAAGAATCTGCAACCCTTCTCTGAATCATTCAACACATTTAAAAAATAAAAATCATGCACGGTCACATGGTTTTCATTCCAAACACCTGAGATAAATTGGGTTTTCATATGAAGATTTAACACTCAAACATGTGCATGTTAGTAGTGCACACAACAACAAAACATGCAGACCAAAATATGACACAGGAGCCGTGTAAGCTCTGCTGGTCAACATTACAGTTAGTCGTCATTCATTTACATTTGACATTTTAGTCATTTAGCAGACGATCTTATCCAGAGCGACTTATAGTTAGTGAGTGCATACATTTTTCATACTGGCCCCCCGTGGGAATCGAACCCACAACCCTGGCGTTGCAAGCTCTACAAGAGGCCTGTTTCTATTGCACATGATCTATCTAGAGGCAGCAACAACGGAGGGAAGAACTCCAGTTCTAACCACAGTGAGCCCGAGATGCAACACTGCACACCATGCAGTATATCAAGATACCTCTGCAGGGCTATTTCGCCAGCTGCCCAGGGCTTTGCGGCCAGTGCCCCTGTCTCCCTCTGCCCCCTCCCCCTCCGTCAACTCCCTCTCCAGGATGCTCAAGGGGCTGGCCCCTGTCAGCCAGCTCTCCAGGCCCACCCCTCCACAGGGGCTCAGGCTGCGGGACAGACGAGGAGAGGGAGGGGAGAGCAGGAAGTCCTCCCCCTGGGGCGGGGTGAAGGTGAGGTAAGGGGTGGCCGAGCCAGGGCGGGGCGGGTAGGGCGGAGGCAGGGGGGAGGCGGAGGGGGAGGCCATGGGGGAGATGCAGTACGGGCTGCCGCAGATGGGGGGCACGGGGCTGGCAGACTTGGAGGGGGGCAGGTACTCGCCCCAGCGGTAAGACACAGAGGGGAGCGGGGGTAGAGGAGGGGTGGGGGCAGTGGGAGGGCTGGAACCCCCTATGGTCAGGGAGATCCACTCAGAGGAGATGGCATGGACCTCGGGAGACACAGAGCGGCGGGGGGATCGGGGGAGGGGCAGGGGGGACGTGGTGAGCCGGTTGTTACGGACACGGTTCAGCTTATAGACCAAAATGACCAATCCAGAGAGAGAGGGGGGACAGAAACGGAAAGATGAAACATTAGACATGAGTATGAATAAACAAAACACAAATAATAAAGTTAAAATAAATAGCAATAGTAGGGCACAAAAGTAAACTTAAAAACTGTGGCAAACTTGGAGTAGGACTGTTGTATTCCTGGAAAGACTGAGCTCTACAAGAGTGTGTGTGTGCGGAGTGTGTCATTACCTGAGGGGAAGCATTGAGGCTGCGGTGAGGTGATTGGCCAATGGGGGGGTCTGGGTAATCCAATCCATTCTTGACTCTGGGTCGTTTGTGCACCTCTATGTAGGTGACTGGGAAGATACCCTGGCGATTGGTGCCAGAGACTTTGCCCTCGTACCAGTTCTCATCGACCCTGCGAATCAGGATGATCCTCTCTCCCTGTAGACACACATTGGCATCCCATTAGCTCATACGGTATGATCGCACATTTAGATACATGATATATCATACCATTACATAAGATAACGTAACATTAAAGCAAGCACAAACTAAACACCATCAGCACACACAACATTTCTGCTAAGCATACTGTATTTCCTGTATCCTGAAACTATGATGGTACTATGTTGTAATACTTTGTGATTTCCATCTGTATTATGTAAAAAGAGGAACACATTTTACAACTGCTCCGAACCTCAATACCCTTAAAACCCTGTTCTTCTTTTTACCTTTCTGAAAGACATCTCCACCACTGTGTCCCCTGTAAAGTTGAAGCGTGCAATGGCCTCTCCATACTCCAGCACCTGCACTGGGGCACTCTTCTTTGGCTGGGCCTTCTCCGTGGGGGGAAGGAGCTGGAGAAAACATACACACAAAGCCCAAAATACATCGGTCAATGTCAATGCTAGGAACTAGTGTCAAGTTCAGGAGGCAATCAGTCAAAGTCAATGCTTAGTACTGTAGCAGTGTCACATTCAAGAGGGCACACTGTAGTAGAACATTTTGCAACAGGAAACAAATATCTGTGTTTTTAAATGGACAAATTCAGGTAGCACCTCCCCGTTTCAAAACAGTTTCTTCTTACTGAACACGACTCCAGTGAATATCATTACTGGGCCTCTTCCACGGTTTAACTTTTGAACTGACTGGTGTCACAACCCTGATGAACTGACTGGTGTCACAACCCTGATGAACTGACTGGTGTCACAACCCTGATGAACTGACTGGTGTCACAACCCTGATGAACTGACTGGTGTCACAACCCTGATGAATTGACTGGTGTCATAACATAGTATATTTATCTTCTTATGCTGCATATAATATAATTTATACAGCATTTCCCTATTCTTATCATATGTTCTTGTGAACAGTTGCGCAGAAAGTCTAGTTTCAGTAGAGCTATGTTGTACTCTAGGTTTTACTGCATGTCTACAACTTTCCAAATGTATGCACTCACTAACTAAGTCGCTCTGGATAAGAGCGTCTGCTAAATGACTCAAATGTAAAAATGTAATGTAAAATAATAACACTGCAATGACTGGTCTATTTGGCACATCAGTCTGTACCCTGCTGTAGTGAGTTCCATCTAGCAAGAAAAGGTCAGTTCATTTTTCAGTCACAATATTGGAACTGGTTGTACCTCAACATAACTCCGTGGGAAGATGCCGACTCTGCCGTGATGCTCCCCTTCAAACCAATTATTATCCACCTGTCGAATGATGTACACAATGTCTCCCTTTTGAAATGGTAACTCCCTGAAAAAGAGGGCAACAAACAACATAGGTTAGCTATTGGATTCAACAATATGCAAAATAAAATATGAGCATTATGTCAAAGGCATATGAGCAATATGACAAAGTAAGGCAGAAATATGACCACATATCAACCACATGAAACATTTCACTTTAAGACTCAGAATGAGGTCTACCCACGTGTAAATTGCTATGTGAGTGGAGATGAATCTAAACCACCATCAGTCACAGTAATGGTACATAGGCCTATATGTTACAGTCACAGTAATGGTACATAGGCCTATATGTTACAGTCACAGTAATGGTACATAGGCCTATATGTTACAGTCACAGTAATGGTACATAGGCCTATATGTTACAGTCACATGATGATTACAACACACTAAAGCTTATATTTCGTTGCAGTTTAAAATATTGTGCGCATGTTCTTGAAATCCCTCCTGGTACAGTGAGGGAAAAAAAGTATTTGATCCCCTGCTGATTTTGTACGTTTGCCCACTGACAAAGACATGTTCAGTCTATAATTTTATTTAATAACAACAACAAAAAACAGAAAACCCCCCCACAAATGTTATAAATTGATTTGCATTTTAATGAGGGAAATAAGTATTTGACCCCTCTGCAAAACATGACTTAGTACTTGGTGGCAAAACCCTTGTTGGCAATCACAGAGGTCAGACGTTTCTTGTAGTTGGCCACCTGGTTTGCACACATCTCAGGAGGGATTTTGTCCCACTCCTCTTTGCAGATCTTCTCCAAGTCATTAAGGTTTCGAGCCTGACGTTTGGACACTCGAACCTTCAGCTCCCTCCACAGATTTTCTATGGGATTAAGGTCTGGAGACTGGCTAGGCCACTCCAGGACCTTAATGTGCTTCTTCTTGAGCCACTCCTTTGTTGCCTTGGCCGTGTGTTTTGGGTCATTGTCATGCTGGAATACCCATCCACGACCCATTTTCAATGCTCTGGCTGAGGGAAGGAGGTTCTCACCCAAGATTTGACGGTACATGGCCCCGTCCATCGTCCCTTTGATGCGGTGAAGTTGTCCTGTCCCCTTAGCAGAAAAACACCCCCAAAACATAATGTTTCCACCTCCATGTTTGACGGTGGGGATGGTGTTGTTGGGGTCATAGGCAGCATTCCTCCTCCTCCAAACACGGCGAGTTGAGTTGATGCCAAAGAGCTCCATTTTGGTCTCATCTGACCACAACACTTTCACCCAGGTCTCCTCTGAATCATTCAGATGTTCATTGGCAAACTTCAGACGGGCCTGTATATGTGCTTTCTTGAGCAGGGGGACCTTGCGGGCACTGCAGGATTTCAGTCCTTCACGGCGTAGTGTGTTACCAATTGTTTTCTTGGTGACTATGGTCCCAGCTGCCTTGAGATCATTGACAAGATCCTCCCGTGTAGTTCTGGGCTGATTCCTCACCGTTCTCATGATCATTGCAACTCCACGAGGTGAGATCTTGCATGGAGCCCCAGGCCGAGGGAGATTGACAGTTCTTTTGTGTTTCTTCCATTTGCGAATAATCGCACCAACTGTTGTCACCTACTCACCAAGCTGCTTGCCGATGGTCTTGTAGCCCATTCCAGCCTTGTGTAGGTCTACAATCTTGTCCCTGACATCCTTGGAGAGCTCTTTGGTCTTGGCCATGGTGGAGAGTTTGGAATCTGATTGAGTGATTGCTTCTGTGGACAGGTGTGTTTTATACAGGTAACAAACTGAGTTTAGGAGCACTCCCTTTAAGAGTGTGATCCTAATCTCAGCTCGTTACCTGTATAAAAGACACCTGGGAGCCAGAAATCTTCCTGATTGAGATGGGGTCAAGTACTTATTTCCCTCATTATAATGCAAATCAATTTATAACATTTTTGACATGCATTTTTCTGGATTGTGTTGTTGTTATTCTGTCTCTCACTGTTCAAATTAACCTACCATTAAAATTATAGACTGATCATGTCTTTGTCAGTGGGCAAACGTACAAAATCAGCAGGGGATCAAATACTTTTTTCCCTCACTGTATGTGTGTCAATGAGTTTTACCCACTTTAGAGTCTCTGCTCTGAAGTCAAACCGAGCCAGGGCTGGAGTTCTCTGTAAACAAAAAGCAGGGACTGTTAGAAAATAAGCATGGATTAAGGAGACTCCCATGCCCTGTGACATCTACTGAACATTGGTTATTCAGTTCAGGCTGGCCTTGCATGCCAGGTTGCAAGGTTCACACAAAACGAACTTCTGGTTTATGTTCACAGTGAATTACTGGTGGTAGTTACAGTATATCTTTATATAATAATAATAATATAATAATAATAATAATATATCCTGTAGTAAGATATTATTTATTCATAAAAATTGAGGCACATGAAAAGATGTCTCTCTCTTGTACATGTCCGCTGCAATAAACATTTTCCAAAGCATATAATGCACTGCAAATTAACATAATAATATAATATGCTTACAGAATGTATAAAAACATACCCATATAATCCAGAGTAACAATTTGTACTGGTTACATATAATGGTAATTAGTTAAAATGCTTAAATGTTTGAGTGCTAAATGTAACTTCTGAGCTCATTTGGTTGTTAGTTGTGCCCTTGCTCCCTGATCCACTAAGAATATTCTAGCAATGACAGGAATGAAACGACTCGTGACTGTTTCTGTCCGGTGGTAAATACTGAGCTACTGTGGGCTGCATAGATAGAGCACTGCCAAAAGAGCAGGCAGGCCGATTAAAATGTAGTAAATGTGTGTCAGGGAATACAGAGTGAAAGGCAGATTTATCATTATGATATACAGTATTTATTTATTTTGATTCTTATTTCACCTTTATTTAACCAGGTAAGCCAGTTGAGAACAAGTTCTCATTTACAACTGCGACCTGGCCAAGATAAAGCAAAGCAGTGCAATAAAAACAACACAGAGTTACACATGGGATAAAACAAAACATACAGTCAATAACACAATAGAAAATCTATATACAGTGTGTGCAAATGTAGTAAGTTATGGAGGTAAGGCAATAAAATAGGCCATAGTGCAACATAATTACAATGTAGTATTAACACTGGAGTGATAGATGTGCAGAAGAAGATAGAGAGTGCAAATAGAGATACTGGGGTGCAAATGAGCAAAATAAATAACAATATGGGGATGAGGTAGTTGGGTGGGCTAATTTCAGAATGGCTGTGTACAGGTGCAGTGATCGGTAAGGTGCTCTGACAACTGATGCTTAAAGTTAGAGAGGGAGATAAGAGTCTCCAGCTTCAGAGATTTTTGCAGTTCGTTCCAGTCATTAGCAGCAGAGAACTGGAAGGAATGGCGGCCAAAGGAGGTGTTGGCTTTGGGGATGACCAGTGAGATATACCTGCTGGAGCGCATACTACAGGTGGGTGTTGCTTTGGTGACCAATGACCTAAGATAAGGCGGGGATTTGCCTAGCAGTGATTTATAGATGACCTGGAGCCAGTGGGTTTGGCAACGAATATGTAGTGAGGGCCAGCCAACGAAAGTGTACAGGTCACAATGGTGGGTAGTATATGGGGCTTTGGTGACAAAACGGATGGCACTGTGATAGACTACATCCAATTTGCTGAGTAGAGTGTTGGAGGCTATTTTGTAAATGACATCGCCGAAGTCAAGGATCGGTAGGATAGTCAGTTTTATGAAGATCTTGGCCCCGAAGACTGTAGTTCCAAGTAAGTGTCTACACACTGGAGCATTGTAATGAGCATTGTAATGAGATCTCAATCTTTTTTGACAACCATTTATCTCAAACTCTATTCTGTGTTGTAAAGGGCTGTCTGCTTCCCGAACAGCTTCGTAGTATGTTTGGCAGATGTATTTAGCTGGTCACTGAAAATACAGTAGAGAGCATACTCTTTGTAAGTGTATGGTATTGTAAACAGGTATGTTGAAATGGTAAATCACATAAACATAATGGGTGAACAAAACTGTATTTTGTCCTAGCATGTTGTGTTAACCTATATTGTACTAACCTGTGCAAAGCGTTATGTTGAACCTTGGAATGTGTTTATAGCTACAACTACTATCACTACTACAATAGCTTCATTCATCAATATTCAGGCAAGGTCAAATCATTGATGTAAAGATATTGAATCATTGTAGTCAGAGGGGTCATGCCCATAGGGGGCACAGGGGCACATGCCCCTCAGATTTGTCCTGTTTAAAAAATAAAAACTACTAAAAAATATTTGTTGTTGTTATTTCTCTGTAATACTACTAGCCACCTAGCAAAAATATTTCTTGATTAGATAAGTATTCAACCCCCTGAGTCAATACATGTTAGAATCACCTTTGGCAGTGATTACAGCTGTGAGTCTTTCTGGGTAAGTATCTAAGAGCTTTCAACATTTGCCCATTATTCTTTTCAAAGTTCTTCAAGCTCTGTCCAATTGGTTGTTGGTCATTGCTAGACAACCATTTTCATGTCTTGCCATAGATTTTCAAGCAGATTTAAGTCAAAACTGTAACTCGGCCACTCAGGAACATTCACTGTCTTCTTGGTAAGCAACTCCTGTGTAGATTTGGCCTTGTGTTTTAGGTTATTGTTCTGCTGAAAGGTGAATTCACCTCCCAGTGTCTGGTGGAAAGCAGACTCAAATAAAATTGTATTTGTCACATGCTTCGTAAACAACAGGTGTAGACTAACAGTGAAATGCTTACTTACGGGCCCTTCCCAGAAAAAAATGATTTAAAAAAGGAAAAGTAGAATGAACCAGGTTTTCCTGTAGGATTGTGCCTGTGCTTCGCTCCATTCCCAGTCCTTAACGATTACAAGCATACCCATAACATGATGCAGCCACCACTATGGTTGAAAATATGGAGAGAGGTACTTAGTAATGTGTTGTATTGGATTTTCCCCAAACATAAAACTTTGTATTCAGGACAATAAGTTAATTGCTTTGCCACATTTTTTGCATTATTACTTTAGAATAATTGTATTCTGTACATGCTTCCTTCTTTTCACTCTGTCAATTAGGTTAGTATTGTGGAGTAACTACCATGTTGATCCATCTTCAGTTCTCCTATCACAGCCATCAAACTCTTTTAAAGTCACCCATTGGCCTCATGGTGAAATCCCTGAGCGATTTCCTTCCTTTCCAGCAACTGAGTTAGTTTGGAAGGACGCCTGTATCTTTGTAGTGACTGGGTGTATTGATACACCATCCAAAGTGTAATTAATAACTTCACCATGCTCAAAGGAATATTCAGTGTCTGCTCCATCTACCAACAGGTGCCCTTCTTTGTGAGGCATTGGAAAACCTCCCTGGTCTTTGTGGTTGAATCTGTGTTTGAAATTCACTGCTCGACCGAGGGACCTTACAGATAATTGTATGTGTGGAGTACAGAGATTGAGGTAGTCATTCAAAAATCTTGTTAAACACTATTATCGCACACAGAGTGAGTCCATGCAACTTCAGGCTATCAATCAAGTTAAAGTAGCTATACTGAACAAAAATATAAATGCAACATGTAAAGTGTTGGTCCCATGTTTCAGGAGCTGAAAATAAAAGATCCCAGAAATGTTCCATACGCACAAAAAGCTTATTTCTCTCAAGTTTTGTGCAGAAATTAGTTTACATCCCCGTTAGAGAACATTTCTCCTTTGCCGAGATAATCCATCCACCTGACAGGTGTGTCATATCAAGAAGCTGATTAAACAGCATGATAATTACACCAGGTGCACCTTGTGCTGGGGTCAATAAAAGGCCAATCTAAAATGTGCAGTTTTGTCACACAACACAATGCCACAGATGTCTCAAGTTGAGGGAGGGAGCGTGCAATTTCTGTCTGTAATAAAGCCCTTTTGTGGGAAAAGGCTTATTCTGATTGGCTGGGCCTGGCTCCCAAGTGGGTGGGCCCATGCCCTCCCAGGCCCCTGCCCAGTCATGTGAAATCCATAGATTAGGGCCTAATTTATTTATTTAAACTGACTGATTTCCTTATATGAACTGTAACTCAGTAAAATCGTTGAAATTGTTGCATGTTGCATTTGTATTTTTGTTCAGTATAGCTTGTCTAACTATCTTAGCTGGCATGCCTGCTGGCAAGGCTGGTAGACTTTAAAAAAATAAAGAAATAACCACCAGTCAGGAGGACACAGACAGCTCAAGATGTATGCTTAGAATTAAGCATAAATGATTATAGCTCTAGATTGCAGGACAAAAGCTGTTTCAGGTGTTTGAAAAATCCAAAATTCTCCAACTTTCGGACGCGGGGCCTAGCCCCACTGCTCACATACTTTGTGCCTCATCTGATGTTTGGGGTGCATGATGCCCCTGGTTATAGTCATGAGTGGGTGTTGACCATAATAAGCAGTAAAAAAAGCAGAACAATGATTCAAGTCAGAGTTACTAATGCCCTAATCACTAACATCTGACTGCAATGTACAGCATTTGCTTCAACCCTTTGAAGTCTGGTCACAGCTGACGAAACCATCTGTAAAAGCAGGAACCCCACTGACTCTCCTCCCCTCCCCCCCACCCACCCACCCACCTGTCATTTTGCACAATGAGAGGGATGGTACTGTACTGCACCTCTGATCCGGATTTCCTCTTGTCTGCTTCGTTGATGTTGAGCAGGTCTCCGAAACGTTCGTTAGTGATGAACTGGTGGTGGGTGGGAACGATTCCCGTGTGTCGCCTCGATGCTGTGTCAGCCTCCTCCTGTTCCCTCTTCAGCCGTCGCTGCTCTTCCAAGATTTTCTGTCAGGGAAACATACAATTTTCTGCAAGTCATTTATTTTGTATTTCACTTGTTTTTGCATGCCACATTAATAGTTCTAAGGACGACAGGCATTTTCAAGATGGAGATGATCAGTAAAGCAATTTTTAGTATACACTGAACAGTTTTTAGTTACATTTATTGTTCAAAAAGGAGAGTGAAGCCCTATCAGATTTTGTTGAGAGAGGACTACAAAAGAAATGTTGCAGAAACTATAAACAAACGATAAAAAAACATTACCTCTTTATCTCCATGGCGTCTCCTGACCACATCATCCTGACCGTCACCAAGGTCTACATGGGTCAAGTAGTCTGAATCTAATACGAAAAATAAATTCATTATGTCCTGAAATTCTCCAAAGGGATTCAACATTTTCCCATAACAGAGTTCATCAATAGTACTGCTTTCAATATCTATAATATAAAAAATAAAAATAAATAGCCCTAACCTTATTGCAATACCACTATTCCAATAGATTTATAAAACGTATTTTGACAAAGCAGGGGAACACTGTAAAATATAGAACTAGACATGCTCTGAAGAAAAGGTGTCATTTGCAGTATGATAACGGAAAAATACACATACTGAAAAAAACATATTCCCACATGCACAAAACAATAAACACAGTAACACACTATGACTCAGCTTTATTTAGCCTGTTGTTTATGAAAAAATACCAAAAAAGGTTGATGGCTATAGAGGAAACAAAATACTGTATAAAACATTCAGATAAAAAATTGTGACTTATGATATGGTTGATGTACAATGTAAATGCATATCACCCATCACCAATGTTTAATGCTTCATCCCAGTCATCACTAACTGTACTACACTACTCATCTTGCTTCCCACCCAGCCATTAGCAATAGACATTTCACCATGCCTCAAACCAAACACCATAAGAAAACCCTTATAATTACCAACCTCTGAGACATAAATCCATGTATTACACAGAATATTTACAGGAAATACCAATATCAGCTATAAAGAAATATGAGGGAAGCACAGTCTCTCTACTTGAAATTCCAGTCTTGTCAGAATGATAAAATGAAGGATGACAGATGAAAACAGACCCCTGACACAGCACATTTGCTTACCCCAAAACTGACAAAACCCAAAAGCACATAGCCTTATAAAAGACATGGTAACACATTACTTGAGGGTGTATACTGCATAGCCATAACAATAGCCTACACCAACATTACATGCCATTTTACATGAAGTTCAATACATTTTTATCTAAATTAATCCCATTTTAGCCAATCTACTTTTACACAATTCAGAGAAGTGTCATGTAATGGTCATGTAGGCCTCTGACATTTGTATGTAGCTATGTATAACTCCTTAAGTTGTGAGAATGCACTAAAGTTACAAAAGTGTTTTGTGATGAGTTTATGGAAAAAAAATGTTTGTCGGGCAAGAAAATTGAATCAAAACTGTAATGGAGGCTGCATTGTCACTTTGTGACACACCACACAGACTAAAAAGATGAAAGGTGGTATTATCACGTTGTGAAAAATACAGATACAATGTGAAGAAGAAAAGCTTGGAGAAAAAACACAATGAGTGGCCAGAGAGATCGGCACAGGTGTGTGGGAGAAGGGACACTCAGGTGAAAATATGGAGAGGAGATAGCCACCTCTTCGGTGCGCTGCCAGCGGCTGCAGAAGATTCCCATTGGCGTCCAAGACTCCCCTATTAGTCAGGTTGTTGTCACTGTCGGATGGCGCACCTTCCCCGTTGCCCAGCCTCTCCAGTACCTCCAAGGAAGAGAGGCGCTGTGGGATGAGGGGCCTGGGATCATAGAAATGGGTCTGTGACGTTTGACCTGCCATCACCTTAGTGGCTGAGAGAGTCTTTTTGGCCTGGTGAGACTGGAGAGACCTCCTCACCCTGAACGGTGCAGGGCCCATGAGGAAGTGGTTTGAGGGGAGAGAGGAGGAGTTCTTTATTTTCTCCTGGGTGGACAGTTTATCCTGCTGGGCCATGGCCTCCTGCTGCCTTTCATGCCGCCGGATAGTGGTGAAGCGGGTATAGGAGGCTGGGCAGGAGCCTTTGCACTTGCTGCTGGGTTTAAGATGGTGGTGGTTGTGGAGGTTGTGTGGGGGAGCGGACGGGGTGACTGGTGATGGGGGACTGTTTGAGGTTCTGGAGATAGTGACCTCTGGGGGTTTCTCTGTTGGTACTGGGGCTTTCTCTGTGGGGCCGTGCTGCTCTGTCTCTGCCTCAGTCCCAGAGAGGGACTCGGCTCTCAGTGTGCCAATGTACTCAGAGGATGCCACCTCCTCCACTATCTCACTGCCTGACAGAAACGCCTCGTCTCGGGCCGCCTTGCCCTCTGTGTCCTCAAGAGGGCAGCCCTCTAACAGCCTAGCGTGCCCAGGGTCAGTGACCAGCAGCGACTCAGCCGAGACCGCGGACGCCATGAAGAGGTCGGCGGGGCTGTGGTTGTGGGTGAGGCTCTGGCCGGTGGGTAGCGTTGGCATGGAGGAGGAGCGTGTGGGAGATGGGCTGGAGCGCTGGGTGATCAGCTCAAACTCCGACACCCGCGACGACACGGCCTCCCGCCTGGGAATGTTCCCCCCTGCCTCGTCCCCCTCCCTATCAATTCCATTGACCCCCACCTTCTCGAATAGGCAGGTCAGGCTACGGACACTCCCGTGGGGACTGGAGCCCACCGAGCAGGAAGGCCTCTGGATACTGTGCATGTTCCGGTACAGGGTGGAGAACTCGGATGTGCTCCTTCTAGTCGCAGGGCTGCCATTTTTTAAACCAGTCTCAGAGTCAAGGGGGAGACCATTGGAGTTTTTGTGCGTGTTTGAGTTTAGTCCGCTCTCCTGGGCCTCTGCTCCTGTGCTCCCTGTGTATATATCCTCAAAGCTGTGTGCCTTTGGGTGCCTGGCAGGTGCAGTCCTCCTGTCGTGGCTGTCATCACTAGGGGGTATCAGCTTATGTTTGAACTTAGAGGGGAGGATTTGGGGTATGCAGGCTTTGGCAGCAGATAAGGGCTTCTTATTCTTACACTGGTAACCTAGGGCATTACTGGCAAGAACTGATCGACTATTTACAGAAGAGCATGGTGAAATTATATAGCCATTCCCACCTTGATAATCCACTGGAAAGCATGCAGGACAACAGAATAAACAGCATATTAGGTTAATGGTCACAAATTCACACACACTGAAAATAACACAGGGTCAACACATTTCTAAAGTAAAGACAACTTCCATCAAAAGTTGATGAGGGAGAAAAGAACTTGATGCATTTCACATCAAGTAACAAATGACTTTGTTATACTATTAGTAATGCCACTTGTAAAATCAAATAACATGTTTTGATTTTAGTGGAGCAGTGAAAATGTTGATTTTGAATAGTCCTAGAAATGCATGTTAAGTGTCTTGTATTTTCACTGGACCTGATATGCTTATTCAATCACAATTATTAATAATTAAATGATTAGTGATCGTAAACAGTAACATAAAAGAGGTGAAACAACAGAAAGGGCAAAGAGCAGGGCAGTACGTCATGCATGAAATGCTATGTAATGTTGGTAAGCTTGCTGTTCGAACATCAAATTAAATAACAGATTACATTTTCTAATATTTGCCTCTAAATCTCAGACCAGAATCCACAGTAGCTTTGATATCAGTATAAACTAAAATGATGCAATAAACAGCTCATAAGAGTTCATAAGAAATACAAACTACTCTGTAAGCTACTGTTGCCCATCGACGCACTACTTATGAACTAGACCTCAGCATTGAGGAATTGGAACGCCCTTTACTTTTTGCAGCTAACCCAAAAAGCACTTCCTTCTCAGGGTCCATCACAGGACACAGTCTCAAATAGAACTGTCAAAACAGCAAGGTCATACACGCCACTGTGAGCCACTACAACATAATATTCTGTAAGACACACCTGCGGGGATGAGTAGTTATGGTTGATTCTCACCTCTGAGTAAGAAATGTGCTAGTAATGCCACATACTGTAATGTGCTAGTCCTACCACAGTAAGGAATTACACATCCCAGTAGGGAATGATGACACATAACCGCCACCAGCTGTTGTGAAACAACTCTACAGGGATGTAGCCTACAGCAGAAGGCTGTAAATGCTCATTAGCATTATGCTAATGTATCTGTGTTTTTGGCTCAGTCATATCTCCCCTCAGTATCCTGTTTGAGCAACCACACACACTGAATAAGTTGAATACTCATGTTATTTCCATGAATATGATATTATAATCTTAGCCACTAGAAAGGCCTGCAGGAAGCAAAGTTCTGTGACAACAAAGTGTGCCATTACTGTTTGAAAGAGCATGAAGCAGGACCACATGATGAAGCAGGACCACATGATGAAGCTCTCTCTGTACTTTATCTTGCTCTGTTGTAATGGACTGTAACTGAGTGTCCACAGAGCTGAGATGGTGTGTCTCTGGCAAGACATAATGAGAGAGCGTGCTAGTCAGTTGACTTTGGCTCAAGATGACTCTGGGCGGAATTCCCTTTATAGCAGTTTCCCAAATTGTATGGAAACGGGACATCAGTCAAGACTTTTATAGAATAGGGACTTGAACTTCAGTCAAGTTATCTGGTATCTTTGTTTCACGATACAGTACTGGCCATCTAAAATAATTTTGTAGAGAAAAAATATGTATTATTAATTGAGGAGCGCAGACAGCTTACATAAACTAATAATACCTCTACAAAGAATACATTTGTGCATCTGGCAAAAACAAAAACAAACTCCAAACGGACTGGCAATAAACTATAGACTTCAGGCCTTGCTTGGCCAGTTGGAATTCCAGTTATGTTATGTATTGGAGCAACATCGCCATGCAGTGCCCGATCTGTCATTTCCTTTCTTCACCCCCTCCCTCCTTTCCTCCCCTTCCCTCCTTTCCTCTCCTTCCCTCCTTTCCTCTCCTCCCCCTCGCATTTCTCTCCCCTGGTCATGTGCGCAGGAATTCCATCCTTTGACCTCTCTCTGACAGCTGACTTCCTCATGCCTAACCACCCTGCTGTGTCCCTCTTGTTTATCTCACCCCTGTCTGGCCTAGCCTACAAAACCAGAGCACTGTTTATCTTCCCCTTTCCTCCCCAATAGTCCCTTCACCTGGACCTTTTCTCCCTGGCTTTAGGACACTCTGGAGCCCTGCCCCTAAGCCTCTCCAACGACTGCCTGGCCTGCAGAGGAAGATAACTGTAGGACGAGGGGATAACCCAAGGTTAGCCTGATAGCCTCCACTGAGTTTGGTGAAACATCCATGACATCAATGATTTAAAAAATAAACGGCTGAAAAAAGATTTATGCTGCAAGATGATTGGCCTCTGGTGTGATAACCTGAAGCAAAAACATATGTGGATTTCAACACAAAGTTAAAAGGAAACACATGTATCCCTAACAGATACTTTTATGATCCAACATCCCCACAAGTCATTTGGTTCCATCTGAGTGGTAAAACCCCCTTTCAGAGTCCCACTTTGAAGCCAGTTCAGTACCCCTCTTTACTGGCAGCATGTGTGGAGTGGAATCCTACCTTTGGAGGAGGTGCTGGCATGGCGCTTGTTGAGGGCCCGCAGACCTTGCAGGGGAATGTCGCCGCCCTCCAGGACGTTCTTGTAAACATGGCGGTCGCATTCTGGAGCCGCTGGCTCGCTGCCGGATGATCCTTCGTCCTTCTCCACCTCGCTGTGTACGGCCTTACAACCGGAGCTAGAGCAAAACATGGAGAAAATAATGATTCAACCTAAAAAGCAGCTTGACTCAGAAAGCCTGATTAGGACTAGACTATATGTTCACACAGCTAGCTAGCTAGAAGAAAGCATGCTGTAATACATGCCAGTGTTGGTAATTAAGTGCAGTTTAATTGAGTAAAACAATTTGCGTAACATGCATTTAATGAAAAGATAAAGAAGCATTTTTATTTTTATTGACACAGTTTTGTGAGTTGCCATATGGTTAGGCTTATCTTACACATTCTGTGGTTGATTACTTGTTGATTCAGCCTTTTTGTTTATTTTTATTAGGGGAACATGAAGAGTGTAAAGATGCTTTTATATAAGCATGCCTGGAATTTGGACCTTGACGTAAAATAAAAAAGCACTCTACTTGTGCTCACTGCCCTTAACTTTGCATTCCACGGGGGCCAATGGGAGAGATTTCTAAAAAATATTGTCTGAACGTTCTCACGTTACTCTGCTATGCCATGCACCTGTACTTTTTTTTAGGGTTACTCTACTTCAGATGCCACTGTCTGAGGAGAGAGCTTGACGCCTCCCTGTCTTTCTATTTGTGCTGCCATGCATGAGTGGAGGCCATTAAACTAACAACAATTCCCAGTAACGGTAGTAAATCATGTGGAAAAATTAAACAACACTTGACAACAACTTTTTAGAGTGGGGTAACTTCAGCACAGTGAATTGCTCCACCCACAGTATCTCTACAGGGTAACACAACAGTAGTCTAATTCCCATTGCAGGATATTCCACTTTCCTGTGCTGTAAACGAACAACAAACAAACATTTGGAAAGACAATAGACAAATATTTGAGACCAGAAGTGAAGTGCAGTGAGGCATGAGGGGAGTAGCAGGGTTTCCCCAAATTAGTTTGGCCCTCTTACATAATGCCAGGTTAAAGTGTAGTTCCTGCAGTTGAACGACCAGAAGCGCCCTCTAGTGGACGCATGGGTGAAACGTTATATTGTTCATAATTTCATAATTAATTAACATGATAAAAATATTGAGAAATCCGGTGTTTCTATATCAAATGGTTTGGTTATATTTCAGTCTTCTGTGATATAATTGTAGTATTGGGATGCAAACTCTAAATTGAATACATTTCAGCTCTATACAGACATGGTACAGGTGTCTTCTTTTTTTAAACCCATAACCATGTGTGTGAGGTGTATACTTTTGTTTCGAAATATAGATTTGTTTTAAGATTACCAAGAAACACTGTGTGACCCTGATTTAGCCCACTGCATTAAAACGTTAACAGGAAGAACCATGCCTCCTTGTTCCTTTATTTAACACCCTCAACAATAACCTTTTTCATAGTTCTCAGAACTCAAATGTGAATAGTCTAACGACTGAATACTGTCTGTGCACGTCTGTTGCTGACCTATCTTGAACTCAAAGCCAAAAATATATATTTTGGTCCCTTGTTTGTACACGCCTGTATATGGTAAGCAATGTGGTATACAACAATGAGGTAAATGTGTACTAGAAAGTTCTTGAATATAGGCTAGCCCTTTAATTTCAAAGAAACCCCAGTAAACTCTCACCCCCTAAACATGTGTCTCGTAACCCTTTGAGGAAAGTATGTGGGATTTATGGCTTAATCTCAGGAGTTTACAATTTTAAACTAATTTCTTAAAGGGATGATAGATATGGTTTCTACACAAACTGTTGTGATGCAATACTTGCATCATGAACATTAATAAACATTATAAAATCAAAACCAGCTTGGTCCAATGAAGCAGTCTGAATGTTTTGTAGAACAAACATTAAAGTAATGTGCAAATGTGATTGGCTGTTGACCAGAAACATAGTCAAAGAAACCCCAGTAAACTTTCACCCCCTAAACAAGTGTCTTGTAACCCTTAGAGGAAAGTCTGTGGGATTTATGGCTTAATCTCAGGAGTTTACAATTTTAAACTAATTTCTTAAAGGGATGATAGATATGGTTTCTACACAAACTGTTGTGATGCAATACTTGCATCATAAACATTAATAAACATTATCAAATCAAAACCAGCTTGGTCCAATGAAGCAGTCTGAATGTTTTGTAGAAAAAACATTAAAGTAATGTGCAAATGTGATTAGCTGTTGACCAGAAACATAGTTTTTGCATATTTTAAAATGCCCATAACAACTTGGGGCAGATGATGCGACAAGTTACTAAACATATTTCTTAGACTTTTACAAATACATGTAAAAAAAAAATAAAGGCTTTCAGAAATCCATCTAGACTATAGAAATAAGTTAAAACATGCAGTATTCATAAAATATGACATAATATAATAAGTGCACAGACAGATTTATCTGTTAATTAATTCATTCCAATACAGTGCATGGCAATATCAATAACCTGTGTTACTTAATATCCAATGAGCTGGCGACAATGAATGACGTCAAAGATTCATGAGACCAATAAACTATTCAAAAGAGTTAGGGAATATCATGCTGTGAAATCCAAATATAAGTTTGGGGAGAGATGGAAAGTTCCAAGCAGAAATGGTGGGAGAACTTTCAGCCATTGGACAACAAGAATGTCACCATGGCTAGGGCTAGAATTCCTTACATTTGATTGCAGAAACAGAAATAGCGCACATAAATCTCTGCTGACAAAAACAAATATCAAAGTCGTAACGCTGCTGGTTTGCTTACTGATCAAACACCCACTTTCATATCAAAGTTATTGTTATAGGATACAGGCTGGCTTCACACACCCACTCTGGGGAGATAATGGATAAAGTTACGTAGCTGTAGAGGTGGAATAGAGCGGTGTTCCCGGTCTCTCTCCACACAAATGACATCCAGGTTTGACTCGGGGGCTGTTTGCTTTCAGCTTTAAATAAATCGCCATATAGTAACCATGTCCCCACCACCACCACCTCCTCGACTACTATCCCCCCCAAAACCTCTCAAGACAGAGGACACACTGTACTGGCAGCTTTTACCCCCGTTAATCAGAACCTTTCTCTTTCGCTCAGGAAGCAGCAGGAGTCTCCCCCCTTCCCTGTATGGGGAAATCTCCACAGGGTGTTCAAATGCTTAAAATCCCCTGCTGACAGTACTCCTAAAACGTGCCCTAAACACAGACAAACACACGTTTTGGAATGGATAAGCACTAAGACAGAAGCATAGAGGTAAGAGAAGTATGGACTTACTACTGCTGTAGGTCGGAGGGTGTTTCCAGGGGGCTAAAAGAGGGGGCACTCTGCAACAGACCAAACAAAGAAGTCATTGATAAATCCACAGGAAGGTCTCTTCCAGCTAGAATAGAAGCAGGAGCATTAGCTGTGGTGACGGTCTCTCTTTTCTCGCTCTCTCGTGTGTCTGTCTGAAGTGTCTCCAAAGCCTGGGATTCTTAACTCTGCTGAACGAGGCTTTTACATGGAGGAGCAAGCGTGTGTTTTTGCATTCATGCAAGTTGGAGAAAACAAGCAGCAGTGAAGTGGGGTGGAGGGTGTGGGCGTGCATCGGTCAGAGGCGTCCATGAGGGGAGGGGGATGTCACTAGGTTCAGCCAATGAGCTGGTGTCTCTCACAGAGGGCCTCTCTTTTGTCTGGTATTGAGTCACTCTCATTACCACTGGACAATTAACCAGCTGGTGGTGCAAACAGGCCAAATTACACACACACACACAAATATTGTCACAGTATAATGCAGATAACAACAATCCCAAAACACAATAAAAGCCTTGAGAAACACAGTCAGAGGCATTACAATAACACACAAATAACGTAAAACTGACACAATGCCATATAGTATAAGCACAGGCAGACATACACAAACAAACGAGGAAAGGGTGAGTGAATACGTTTGTTTATAGGACTATGCCGTGCGAGCTGACAAAACACGTAGTTATCTTATTTGATGTTATTCTGGGGCGGTTACTAACCCTAAAACACAGGGAGAGCCATTCGCTGGTGGGGTAGCACCCGCTAGCGCTTTTAATGGTTTAGAGCTCGCTAATTTTAGCCCACTGTTTCTGTTGCTTTTCTCCATGCGGACGTCACAGAGTTTAAAAATAACAGACATGACAGGCGGGCTATGAATAAAAGCACAAGTGTTGTTTGCAAATAAGATTACACAATCCCAAGCGCCAGCCTGGCCCTTCTAGTAGCACCTCTCCCCCAACCACACATCTCCACCCCCGCCCCATCCCAAACAGATGACCAGACCAGACCAGTAGCATACTGCACAAGCTCATTTCCCACAACATGCCTTCCCTCTGGTTGCCAGGGGAGAAGGATCATTAATAACCTTTCAAAATGAATGCCTATCTTTATAAGACCAGAATTCAGCCTGGCAGGTCTATAGACTAATCTATTTATAAAGCCAAATGTTCCACAGGCACCTTACCCCTTCTTCGAGAACATGCCACCACCACTGAATTATCTGTGTCTTTTCACTCTCTTGTCTTCCTATCAATCTCTGTCTGACAGAACTGGGTTCAAACACTTTTGGAAATACTGTAATTTCAAATACTTTAGCTGGGCTCGATTGAGCTTGCCTGGCGCAATGAAGCCAGAATAGTTGCAAATCTGCAAACCCCACACATCTGGCACTACAAGAAGGCTAAAGTAAATGCTAAAAGAATTTGAAATACTATAAATAGTATTTGAATCCACGTCTGCTGACTGATCTCCCAGTCCCTCTCAACAGGGGATTTAATGGATGGTGTCCCCTGGTACTTGTGAGTATTTGAGCTGACACTACACTGCTCTGATGGAAAATAATCAGGAAATAGGAGTGAGAGACTTACCTGAACTAAAGGAAGGGGATCTCATTCTGATTATTTACAAGAGATTTACAAGCCTAGGGATTCCCATTAAATGTATGGGCAGGTGAAATAACAATTACAAGTTGAAAATATGTTATGCAAAGGTTCACTATGATTTAACCTTCAATGTGAAACATTCCATATAAAGTGGAGTACAAAATAATATTACTAACGATGGAAAGTTCATTTGCATGAACAATTGTCACTAGCATGCCAAGATCCCTGAAGTCAAACAATGACTTCAGACAGATATTGCAGACATCTGATGTCTCTTCGTGTGGTTTGACCGGAAATTAAGGGACACATAAAATATTAGAAGCTGTTTACGAATCTAGGCGGATGAAGGTACTGTGAATTCCCTTCTCTTGACGTGTCAGTGGAACACTGTGTTAACAATGTTTGCACATTTTCCAAACAGGTGTCTGTGATGACTTTGCTGCAAGGATATATATATATATATATATGCCAACATTGCAGGTTGGGTATCTGTGTGCGTTGTTTATTCACATTCAAAAATAGGAATCATGAGTGTAAATGGGAGCCTTTCCTTCCAAAAGCAAATGCTTATTTGTTTAGACAAGTTCTCATAAAAACATCAGCTCCCCTAGCATGTTGTTACTGTTATAGCTGTATCTGTATCCCCTCAGCACGAGTACTTCAGAGAGAAAGGTTAAGTCTAGAACTGAGGTTAAATATGAAAACACAATGAGCTGAGGGGATTATGGGTTACTTCCAGTCGAACATTCAAGTCGCGGAGAGGTTCATAATGGGTGCCTCCCAAATGGCACCCTAGTCCCTATATAGTGCACTACTTTTGACCAGGGACCATCTGGCTCTGGTCAAAAGCAGTGCACTATATAGGGACTAGGGTGCCATTTGGGATGCACCGGCAATATCATTCAGTGTATGAATCAGTACAGAGTCCGACACTTTATTAGTGGCCCCACATGCAGCTGCCCCCTCAGTGACCGCTTACGCCAGACAGACTAGTCACTGACGGAGTCACTCAGTCGGAACACAGAAGGCCAAAACGTTCTTCTTAACCATAGATATGTATGGTATTCTGCTTCCATTTCGCCTTGTATGTCCATGGAGCTGTGATTGAATGTGACTGTGATCATATGAATTTCGAGGCCTCTGTCTGTGAGCTCATGCATAAGTCGTGACCTTTGAGAAGTATTAATGGTTGATGTGATTAAACAAGAATGTCAGTTCATCGATCTGGTTATGACCTTGCTTTTGGAGCGACACGGATTGTGATCATAAGACAATGCACTACAAGTATAACAAGTCAGAAAACCACTTAATCTATTGTTAGATCGATATGCTGTCAAGAAACCAATAAACTCCTGGACTTAGGCAAAGAAAAAAAGAATATACAGTACCAGTCAAAAGTTTGGACACACCTACTCATTCAAGGGTTTTTCTTTATTTTTACTATTTTCTACATTGTAGAATAATAGTGAAGACATCAAAACTATGAAATAACACATATGGAATCATGTAGTAACCAAAAAAGTATTAAACAAATCAAAATATATTTTAGATTCTTCAAAGTAGCCACCCTTTGCCTTGATGACATCTTTGCACACTCTTGGCATTCTCTCAACCAGCATCATGAGGAATGCTTTTCCAACAGTCTTGAAGGAGTTCCCACATATGCTTAGCACTTGTTGGCTGCTTTTCCTTCACTCTGCGGTCCAACTTATCCCAAACCATCTCAATTGGGTTGAAGTCGGGTGATTGTGGCAGCCAGGTCATCTGATGCAGCACTCCATCACTCTCCTTCTTGGTCAAATAGCCCTTACACAGCCTGGAGGTGTGTTTTGAGTCATTGTCTTGTTGAAAAACAAATGATAGTCCCACTAAGCGCAAACCAGATGGGATGGCGTATCGCTGCAGAATGCTGTGGTAGCCATGCTGGTTAAGTGTGCCTTGAATTCTAAATAAATCACTGACAGTGTCACCAGCAAAGCACCCCCACACCATCACACCTCCTCCTCCATGCTTCACGGTGGGAACCACATATGCAGAGATCATCCGTTCACCTATAGTGCGTCTCAAATTTGGACTCATCAGACCAAAGGACAGATTTCCACCAGTCTAATGTCCATTGCTCGTGTTTCTTGGCCCAAGCAAGTCTCTTCTTATTATTGGTGTCCTTTAGTAGTGGTTTCTTTGCAACAATTCGACCATGAAGGCCTGATTCTCCTCTGAACAGTTGATGTTGAGATGGGTGTTTGTTACTTGAACTCTGTGAGGTGCAATCTGAGGTGCAGTTAATTGCCGATTTCTGAGGCTGGTAACTCTAATGAACTTATCCTTGATGTTTATTGCGACTGCACTAGAAGAATGATGGACTGTTGTTTCTCTTTGCTTATTTGAGCTGTTCTTGCCATAATATGGACTTGGTATTTTACCAAATAGGGCTATCTTCTGTATACCACCCCTACCTTGTCACAACACAACTGATTGGCTCAAACGCATTAAGAAGGAAATAAATTCCACAAATTAACTTTTAACAAGGCACACCTGTTAAATGAAATGCATTCCAGGTTACTACCTCATTAAGCTGGTTGAGAGCATGCCAAGAGTGTGCAAAGCTGTCATCAAGGCAAAGGGTGGCTACTTTGAGGAATCTCAAATATAAAATATATTTTGATTTGTTTAACACATTTCTGCTTACTACATGATTCCATATGTGTTATTTCATAGTTTTAATGTCTTCACTATTATTCTACAATGTAGAAAATAGTCAAGATTAAGAAAAACCCTGGAATGAGTAGGTGTGTCCAAACTTTTGACTGGTACTGTATATACAGTATATATACAGTATATATACAGTATTATATATATATATATATATTGTGAAAGAATACTCAGGTTTCCTCCTTAGGTTGATCGTCACGTGTTACATGGACATACATGGAGTCAAGAGTCACTAGACCTTCCAAGAAGGAGCCATCATCCCATGGGCACTCTAAGAATTCATAGAGGTTACAAGCAGCCTGTATCACATATAGAGTCACCATAACCGAGAAGAGATATGCCAATCAAACCCCAATGTGCCGGGATGTCTAGCCCACCCATTGAGGGTCAAATACTACACATACCAGGTGTAGCTGGAGCTTTGAGTTAGTCAGACATCAAATTGAGCTCATCTGGAAACCATCCTACTTGGAGGCCAAGTTTTTAGTATTACCCCCTCCTAATCCTAATATAACCAACCAGGAGTTGCATGGCAGGAGTTGCTGGAGTCTGAGTCAGACAAGACTTTCCATGGATACCACTGTGACTCAAAGACAAGGTTGGGAAGATGAGAGATTCCTAAGCCTGCCCTGTGTTTAGCTGACGTGAGAATATGATCTCATGCAGTCAGTGGTGCTGCATCATATGATCCAGGGTGTGGTTTCCAGGCAGACTCCGCTATGGAGGTTGGCCCTGACTGACTGACAGAGCAGAGAGCAAGGAGCCGGAACATCTGTTTGTGGGCAGCCAGTGAGTCTGAATACTTGTCTGGTGCAAACTGGAGCCCGAGGCACGTAGCCTACCAGTATTTGTCAAGCTGCCTACTGTATATCAAACTTCTGATTCAACTTTGACAACATGCCTTCATTTGGAAAAGTTACTATAGGAAATACAGTGCATTCCGAAAGTATTCAGACCCCTTGACT